GCCTTCCTCTCCATCACTACAATAGGCCCATTTCTGTAGTTCTCAGTTCCTCTTCTTCCATTCATTTCCCTCCTCCTCTTCTTCCCTCCTTTCTCCTCCCCCTCCCCCTCCTCTCATTCCCTCCATCTCCTTCCTTTCTCTCCCCCTCCTCCTCTGATCCCTCCATTTCCTTCTTTCCTCCTCCCCCTTCTCCTCCCATTCTCTTCATCTCCTTCCTTTCTCCTCCCCCTCCTCCTCTGATCCCTCCATTTCAATCCTTCCTCCTCCCCCTTCTCCTCTCATCCTCTCCACCTCCTTCCTTTCTCCTCCTCTCCCCCCCCTGAACTTCCATTAATGCAACCGCAACATGCCACTCAGCTCTACCATTCCATAACAAGAGTAACTACAGAACTACTATAGTTTCCCCTCGCCCACGTGTACACCTTATGTAGAAACATTGTCTTCCTCAGACGAAATATTTTCTGTGACGGGGTGTCATTGCACCATTAAAGCTGTAATTGCAACAAAGCTATACTGGAGCTACGACCGAATGTGTAGAAACAATATTTCAATCTTTGAAAAGGGGTCTTAACACGTTTTAATCGCAATTCTTCCAATTTGTGTAATAAACTATGGTATCGCAATTGTAACAAGGCAGTTACATACAGGAAATGACATGACACTGTAAAAAAAAAAACATGATAATAATGGCTTTTGTTAATTCATAATTTAACCTTATCATGCTGCGACAAAACACCCACATGATGAAAGAATAACATTCAAATTTGTTCAATAATAATGATGATTACGATAATGACAATAATGATGACAGTAATAGTTATAATGATAATAACAATGAGGATGATAATGATAAAAATAGTGATGATGAAGGTGACAATAATACTAATTATAATAACAATGATGATAATAATGATATGCTAATCATAATGATATCTATAATGATAATAATAATAATAATAATAATAATAATAATAACAACAACAACGATATTAATGACAATGAGAGCACTGATAATAAAAAAAAAAATAATAACAACAACAACGATATTAATGACAATGAGAGCAATGATAATAACACAAAATATATTTAAGAATAATAATGACAATAATGGTAATATAAAGTAAGAATAATAAACAATAATAAATAATGATAATAATAATAACAAAGTAATGATGATGATGGTAATGATAATGATAATAATAATATATTTAACATTAATGATAATAATAATGATAATAATAATAATAATAATAATAATAATAATAATAATAATAATAATAATAATAATAATAATAATAATCATCATCATCATCATCATCATCATAATAATTATATATAAAAAATAAATCATAATAATAATAATGATAATAATGATTATGAATGATAATAAATAACGATAATAGAAACAATCATAATAATGACAATATTAAAAAAAATCAATAATTATAATAATATTAATGATTAGATTATATGAAAATGATAAATAAAACAAATCCCACCTAAAGAAGGAGACACAAAACGAGAAACATTTCACGGCACACAACGGATCCACACGCACACGCAAAACCACTGGAAGACAAACCGTAAGTGGTTCTGTATCCATCCATGGCTGTTTCGCAATGTTGCTAAATCTGACGGGCGCCGCTTCCATGGTAACCTCTCTCTACTTCACTTCTCGTTTTCCTTTTTGCTACTGCATCCTCTTCCCCTCCCCCCTTCCCTCCCCTTCCTTCACATACACTTATTTCCTTACGATTTTGTTCGCTAAAGGTCTAGCTGGCTGCGGTTTTAGGAGAATCGCCATGTTTTTTTTCCTTTGTTTACCTTCCTTGCCGCGTTGGTAACATTCGCATGTTTTTTTATATTTTCATTTTATTATTTCACCTGTTGTTTTTTCTCTTGTGCTTGTGTGTTTGATATTTGATGTCGAATTTCGCATTATTTGTTATTTCTATTATTATTTACTTCTCCATGCCGTTTTCTTTTACCTTTTTTCCATTTTCAGTGTCTTCGAGGTAGCTCCTTCCTCTCCCTCATCCTCGCTCACCCTCATGTGTGCCTCTCTCCTTCTCTCCCCTCACTACCTCTCCTTCGCGTTCTCTTCCTGTCCTGTTTGCACCCTCGCTTTGTTGCTCCCCCCCCCATCGCTGTTTCTCCCCCTTCTCTCTGTCTGTCTCTCTCTCTCTCTCTGTCTCTGTGTCTCTCTGTCTCCAAGCCTTTTTCGTTTTTATTTCTTTTTCTTTTCGTAATCCTCTATCCTCTTCGCTTTCGTGTTTGATATCTTTTCCATTGCCACTCCCTCTTCTGTTGCTTCCTCCCCCCCCCTCATATCCTCTTCCTGGTTTCCCCTTCCCACCTCCCTCCTTCGCCTCCTTGCAAAAAAACGTGGCGCACCATGTGTTGGCCGCCGCCACACGATCCACTGATCGTCATTATTCATAAAACAACATCCTTGTTTCCTTACCTTGCGATGGGAACCCTTAGAGATAACGAAAGGGGAACGAGAAGGCAGATTTCAAACTGAGCGAATGTCGATAAAACAAAACCAAGCAAACACAAAATATTCAACAACCGCACATCACAACAAAGATGTTAATCTCTGCGACACCCTCCTCCCCCCTCTCCTCTCTCTTACCCTTCCCCTTCGTCCCTACCCCCCTCCCTGCCCCCTCCTCTGCTGACACCCTGCTTGCTTGCTTTCTCGCTCGCTCTTACCCCCTCAAGCCAGGAAGTGTGTGGGCCGAATGCAAACGAGGTAGGTCTATCTGTCCCAAGTGCTCGCCTTGTGGATAACCCGGAATTATAGGGAAAAAATGTCTCATTGGATTCGATAATAGTGCATCGTCCGTGATAGGAATTCCATAAATTGTTATTTATGTTAATGGAATGATACATGACCAGATATCATGAAGACGTGGCAGTGGCATTGTTGTGAATGCTTTTGTGAATTCTAGAAAAAAAGTGTTGAACATGAAGTATTCAGTATATGTACGTGTTAATAATCGTTTAAAATATATGCCACTGAATATATGACCTGGCGAAGGGAAAAGCTACATGACCCACGTACTGGCGATGTGAGATGGTATTATAAGACCTACGTCCTGAAAAAAAATATATAGTATATATACGTACACGCATATACAGACGTAAATAGTCACATCGCTCAACATACACGCGTGCGTCTCCCCCCCCCCCTCTCTCCCTGTCTGTCTGTCTGCCTCTCTCTGTGTATATATATATATATATTATATATATATATATATATATATATATATATATATATATATGTATATTATATATATATATATATATATATATATATATATATATATATATAATATATATATATATGTGTGTGTGTGTGTGTGTGTGTGTGTGTGTGTGTGTGTGTGTGTGTGTGTGTATAGAAACCCACATGGATGTAAATGTATTACGATCCTGACGTAACAAGCAATAGGAAACAGCAAGACAAAAAAGGGCGAGGATACAGTGCACATAAAATATATAAATGCATGCGTGATGTGCTTATATATGGCATCATACAGGTACAGGAATTCAGGCGCATGATGCAGCAAATAGACTATCAAAGGTGCATGGTTATGCCTCTGATATGACAGCTGATTTTGAAAAAAAAGGTGACGCATTTGGAAAAGTATATTCCCGACCCATTTTCCCCTTAGAAAATGAAGCAAAAATGAATAAATAAGAAAATTGTAGGAGGAAACGCGTCAGCATGTAGCGTAGGCAAAAATCTGATTCTGATCATCGCTCTTGGTAAATGGACAAATAAAACGCCAAAGTCAGTGAGAAGTGAAATTTCAGTGGTATACTGAACTTTACAGCGTTCTTTTATTTGGTATAAGTATATATTAAAGAGTGTATGGCCTGTATGTTGACATAATACAGCGAATGAAGTGTGGTGAATTGAAGTCAGATATGGTAGTTGGTGCGGCAGTGCTGTAGAGAGAGAGCAGTGTATGGTGTGGGACGGAGAAGACACAATTCATAGTTAAAGCAGGCAGTGCATGTTGAATATTTGGAAACAAGGTAGCATATCAGCTGCATAAATCGAGATTATACTTGTGAATTCCAAGTTCCTGACACAATTAAAAAGCTTATGAATTCGGTGACTGAGTACAGGAAGGGAAACGATTAATAAAATCTGGTTGTCTAATAACATGAATTAATGGGAAATACTAATATTGAACATTATATAAAAGTGTTTGGAAACGGAAAGAAAAATGCGGTTGTACGGTTCACAAAACAAACAAACAAACAAACATAAATACTGGATAACTAACTAAAGGACTCGAAGTAAAGTTGGTGGAACGTCTCGATAATTATTAGTTATATTGAAAAGAAAAGAGAGACAAAATCTAAATTCCATTACGTGGATTCACAAGAGAATAATAAGAAAAAAACAGAACAAAAAAATTGGCGGGAAAAAAATGTAAAGGATGGCGGGCAAACAGGCAAACACGTAACAGTCTCAGAGGCGCCAGTCCGAGGAGGGATCTCACGTTTTTTTCATTAACTTGAGTCACCCTTGGTATTCAATATGTCTTTCGTCAATGATTCATTCATCGTATCATATCAAATGCTTTGGGATATGCTAATTCTTAACATGTGTAAAGCCATATAATGTAACATAATGGTTCTAACAGTCGATGAAAACATAGGATAGTGT